CATAGAGCCTCCCTGATCTAATCTGCCACCGTTTTATTGAGGTGGCTTTATGGATGTTGCTTTCCATGGACTGTTTTATCCTTTTATATTTTATTGCTCCCCTCTCTGAAATCTCCACACTCTGCTATGGAGCAGTATGAGACTTCTTGCAAATGAATAAACATACCTTCTTTAAAGAAAGCTTAGCCAATGCCTGTGTTGGTTTATGAGAAGCCCCAGGGTACAGAAGAAAACACGGAAAAGGACACTTCCGGCTGAGAGCAGTGGAAGGCAGAGCAGGCCTGACCACTGGGAATGACTGCCGCAGCTGCTGCGGGCATAGTCTGAGTCACGAACCAGCTGGGCCAGCGAGGATCAGCTGCCTCCCTTTCTCGGAGAGAGAAGACCGACGTCACGCCATCCCCGTGGCCGTCTGCTATCTGCCCCGCTGCACAGAGATCCCTCTGACTCACTCGCCCCTGGAGAGCAGGAAAGCGAGAAGCTCATGGCATGAATTTGAAGCCGTTTCCTCCAGAGATCGCCGGGATGAAAACTGTTCTCTGCTTTGCCACTGGAACCCTTCTGTCTCTCAGGTGGGCTCAGGGAGGGGAGACCCCACCACTCGGCAGGACGCCATGCCGTAGCAAAGGGTAAGCCAGCACGAGAGGCAGTGTGGCGGAGAGGTTAGAGGGCGGGACTGGGACTCCGGCAATCTGAGTTCTGGTCCCCTCTCAGCCTTGAAACTCTCTGAGTGACTTTGGGCCAGGCCCAGACTCTCAGTCTGACCTACATCGTAGGGTTGTTGTGAGGATAAAACGGAGAAGACCGTGCTATAAGCAAGGTGCCTTGGGTTCTTTGCAGGGAAAACGGTATAAATAGAAGAAATTTTGGAAAATTAGGGGCTTGATGCAGTGGCTGAGCTAACCTGAATGGTGGACCGGCCAGGAGTCAAACTTCCTCTGAGTGTCCTGATATGGGAGATGGGGTGGTGGTGGTGGGTGTCCACACAAGCATGGCCAAAAGAGGACTGCAGACCAAACGAGCCGGAACCCTATGGAGAAAGCCAGCACCTCTGCTAACCCGTTTCCCCCTAAAAAGCTAGCTTGGGTTGAGAAAATGGAGTCAAGGACACCGCATGAGCCAATTTGCAAGACGAAAAGGGCAGGAGACACTGCTACACAAATACAATCCCCATTATTTCACTCGGGTGCTGTTTTTATGGTCACACATTTGAATAGGTGCAGGCTATGCTATCAGAACTTTTGAAACTTAGTTTTGACTCTTTCACTGAAGAAGGAGGCAGTCCTGTGGCTCTGTAAATTCGCTTGGATACATTTTCATTTCAACATAGACACCTGAGCTTTTGCCTGAATTGACCTGCCCTTTCCTAGTTCATTCAGATTCTGAAGCAGAGGCAAAGGCAAGGTTTTTCCCAGCAGGAATTCCCCAGCTCTCCTTGCCCCCAAGATCTGTGATGACCCTTCTCCCCAAAACCCCTCTGAGAACCAAGAGGAGGGGTAGAACCATTGGGAGCTGCTATTTAAAACAAACAAACAAACAAACAAACATCCCCTTGGAATTTACAGAGAGCGGCACCAAGAACTGCATGGCTTCAGTGGGATAAGGTTGAGTTGCACAAACCCCGTTTTCCTGGTAGAGTTTTTGTGTAAACTGTTCTGGCAAGATTTGCTCAGATCTCACAAACCATTTGGCTTGGTGGGGCTGGTGCAACTTATGAGAGTCCTCTTCAAACTAGGTGCTTTTTCTGCACAAGTTTTGGGAAATCCCCCCGGTAAACTCCCCTGAAAAATCTCCGTCCATCTTACAAACAGAACTCCATGCATGCCAACTTGTGCCAACAAGCAGACAGCACACTAGGACCCAGGGAGACGATGGATTCCCACACCTCCCAGCTTCCTTCTCAGGCACCTTCCCCACCAAACGTTCTGCCGCGTCTTCACTCCTTCTGGAGCCCAAGGGGCCACAATGCACCCAAAACCAAGCCCGAAAAATTCTCCACAATCCCAACTAGTATTCATAAATATCGCCTTACTTCCCTGTGACAAAATAACTGCAAATCATGATCAAAGAACATGCCTTTTTCTAGAAAGAATGGATTTTCCACAGTCTGATCTGTTTGTGCCTACGTGAGTGTCTGGCCTGGAATGGCCTGAGGAGGAGATGCATGGGAAAACTTCAGTCTGCGCTGAAATGAACTAGCGGAAAATCCTAGGCATGGATTCCGAGTTTGTTTACTGCCCGGAGGCTGCCGAACTCAATCCCGCCCCTCGCATAGCATGGAATGACTTGGGAGCTGCCCCTCCAAATTCCACTTCCAAGCTTGTGCCAGCTCAAGCCTGTCTCAGGTCGGAGTTTTCTTTTTGCATGAAAATCCATGAAGCAAGAAGCAACCCGCCCAGTCTGCACAGTAACAGGCCTCTGTCTTTTCAATATTATTATCATTCATATTATTAAATGATCACCATTCTTTTATATTGTGATTAATTTCTGCTCGACCAGTTCAGCTAATCAGAAGTAGAATGGGAGCTGGAAAGAGAACCTAACCAAAGAAAATGACATTTTCAGAGAGAGATGCGCTTAAGATGAAGAAAGGAAAGAAGGAAATGACGTGTATAGCATATATCTGAGCTTACTCTTTTTTGGGGGTAGCAAGAGTTAAACCTCCCCAGCTGCCTCCCCCCAAATTCTCCCCCCCCACACACACACACTGTAAAGGGAAAAAGAAAAATGCCATTCCCACCAATGCAGACTTTCTTGGTTCTTTTGAACCCCATATTGGGGTGAGAGAAATTTAGGGGAGAAAACAGAAGGCTTAGCATCTCCACACCTCTGTGTGATGCCTGTGCTTTGGATCGGGTGCTATGCACCTGGAAGAATGCATCGGCCAGAAACACTGGAGCGCACCCAAGTTCTTCAAGCTCTGCCTGAAGGCTGTCCTGATCCAGGTTCACATCAGATGGCAAACTCCCCTTTCCCCGCTTTTTGTATGAAAATCTGTGCCTGCTTTCCCAAATGGACACCTCATTCATTTCCAGGGGTGCACATACTCCTCCCGTGAGTGAAGGAATATTGATGCACATTTTGCAGAAGTGTGTATGTCTATTCCGTGTCTGTTTTTCAGGGACGTGTGTATCTGGGACCACAAATGTGCGAAGACTGAATGGGCCACTCACCTTCCAGGAACCCAGGGAGGGAGTTCACTTAGGCTACAAGAATTTCGTATTTCATTTCTGCTCAGAAATCTTGCATGTGTGTCCTGTTTGCAACCTTAAATATGGCTACAAGCAGGAATGTTGTTCTCATAACTGTCTTGCCAGTTTCCAAACCCTGCACCAATGTGCACTTTGCAAGATGTGCATTTTCATGTTTTGGCCTAGGGAGAAAATGTGCATTTTTCCTAGGGGAAGTGGGGTATGTGTGAAAAGATGCTGGCATTTGGGAATGCAAATGGAGCAAAACAAGCTGAGAGGAAGAATTTGGAGATGATGGGACAGGTGGTAGGATGATTGTAGCACGACGTATGATGGCTGGCCTTCCAATCAGACGCTACAATCAAGATAGGGGACAAAGAGAGGTTTGGATGGTGGCATTTAGAAGCAAGGCCTTTCCAGTGCTGGCCCCCAAGTTCTGCAACAAGCTCTGCACTGAGGCCTGCCTGGTGCCAACCTGAGTATCTTTTCGGCACCAGGTTGAGACCATCTTCTACCACAAGCTGTTTAATTAGTTGACTACTGTACTGGGGCTCATGTTGGCTGCTTAAACAAGGCTTTTGACTGAACTTGCAAGCTACATTAGTCTGAAATTTGGTTTTTAAATGTCATATGGCAACTTTTCTGTTGTTTGTATCGTTGCCTGCGTCATATATTGCATTCTGTGGGTTGTTGTAAACCGTCCAGAAGGCTTTGGTAATCGGGCAGAATGGAACCCCCCCGCCCTGCCACCTGACCACCCCCACCAGCACCAGCACCTGACAGCATCAGGGCTGCAGCCCCCCAGTACTCCCTCGGTCCTTGCTGTCCAAGAAAACCTCTTTTAGTCCAGGAGTGGCAAGAAGTTGGCCCTTCATGGTTGGGACATCAACTCCCAGCATTCCCTCCAGACCACTGGCCTCACTGCAAGGGCTTCTGGGAGCTGAAGTCCCAAGCATCTGGAAATCACCCTTCTGCCCCCTCTAGGAGCAGCAGCTTCATCTTGCTCCGTGTGGCCCAGCCTGTCCTGAGCCGAAGCTGGCCGGGCTCGGTGGAGGTTTGGCTGGGCAGTCCTGGAAGGAAGCAGGAAAATTCTCTCAATACCAGATGCCCAGGGAGACAGGTAGGGGGCAAAGATGCCCCCATGTCGGCCAGCCTGAAGCATTCGAGGGAAGCGGGGCAAGGTGACCTCAGAGGCTGCCCCATTCACTCCACGCAAACACATTCCCCCAGCTGGCAAGAACAACCTGCTCATTCAACCCCAGGGCTGAACCCACGGAAGCAGCTCTCCCTGATGCACAACTGGTGCCGACTTCACCATCTTTTCGGCACCAGGAAAAGACCATCCTTCACTGCAGGGCGTTTAATAGTTACTGGGGTCTCCTGGTTGTTAGACAGGGTTTGACTGGGTCTTTTTAATGCATAATTTTTGTTTTTCTGTTTTTGATTTGGTTTTAGATTTGGTACAGCCACCTTTTATGATGTTTTAATCTATTTTAATTGGTAGGGTTTATCCTGCTTTTCAGTATGCTGCTGTGAAGCACCCAGAGAGCTTTGCCAGCTGGACAGTGCAGGAATTAAATGAATAGATAAGTGTCGAAATATGGAGTAGGGCCAGTGCCCTTTTGGAAGTGCTCCTTGTGCCACGCATGCTTCCAAACGCATAGGTGCGTGTTCTGCAAAACATCCTGAGAATTATTTCCCAAGCCGCTCTGGCATTTGCAAAATTCTTGTCACCTCGATTCCCGAGAGATGGGACACGGCCTGGGGGGGCCCAGTGGGGCGCCCAGGGGCTGTCAGGTGCACACTCACCCTTGTTCCTCCATCATCTCCTGCAGCTCCATGCATTTCAGCTCCACCCGCCGCTTCCTCTCGTGGTCCAAGATTTCCCGGTGGGCCTTCTTCACCAGTCCTGCCTCCACCAGCTTCACCTCTTCCTCCGGCTTGTGCCAGGTGCCTGAAGCACCGGGCTGGGAGAAGCCGTTGGACGCCTCCTGGGGCGAAGGCATCCTGGCCCCGTTGTTGTAGACAGACATGGAAGCTGGGGACTGGTGGGGCTCACACCCTCTGCGGTCAGTGCCTGCCTTGGGATGGAAGGAGAAAAGGCATGTTTACTTTTGTGATATCCTCAATGATAGCAGGGAAAGCAAAGATCATAAAATCATGCTCACTTGAGCAATGTTACCTTTTCTTTTGGAAACACTGAGCTTGTTTTGAGGAAAAGGCCAGAAGAGAGTTGGCTCAGAGGCTTGGAGTGAGCAGCAGGCTAGGCAGCAGTGCATTTTCTCATTATGACCCTGCAAAGCTGCCTTCTATTGAGTGAGACCATTTGTCCATTTGGCACAGGACTGCCCACACTGACTGGCAGAGATTCTCCAGGGTTTCAGCAAGAGCTTTCCCAGAATGGAAGCAAATACGGTTTTCAGTCAGCCATTGGAACCAATCCTTTTCACAATATGCTTGCATTCCAGCTTGACTGTAAATTATATTCCAAGCATTTTACAAATGTTAAGGAAGCAAACAGTTAGCTGGCTGGGCCAGGACTCAGGAGATCCAGGTCTGAGTCTCTGCTCAGCCATGAAGCTCATTGGATGACTCTTGACCAGTCTCTGACCTACCTCACAGGGTTGTTGTGGTGAGGGCAAGATGAAGAGGAGGCAGGTCATGTAAATCATTTTGGGTTTGTGGCAGGAACAAAAGTGGAGATGTAAATATAATGAATAAAATTAAAACAAATTTGCCACTGACATACAGCTTAAAAGTTCATAAATGACACCAATTGCTTAATATTAAAACTTGGCAATAACCAGTAGTCAAAAGCATGTTAAAAGTGGCCCTCCGAGTACGAGAAGAGAGGCAGATGGCAGAGTATCTTCTCGGAGAGAACAAGTGGCCCTTTCGGGTACTGCCACTGGAAGGCCCTGTCCCCCTGTACTCAGCCACCAGCTGCTGGGTGTCTTCCCAGCTTTTGTGGCCTTTCCTCCTATTCCAAAAGGTCACCAAGATTCAGGCACTGCAGGAAGAGCGTGGAGGCTGGCCTCCTGGAATGCTGCCCCCCAAACCAAATCCAAGGAAGGCTTTCCTGCTTTGAGGCCTCTCCGAAAGCCGCTCCATTTGCTGATTTTCTTATTACATTTTTTCATGCTGCTTGACATTGGTGCGATTGTTTTTGGCTCTGTGTGGTTTGCAGTTCTGAGCTCTTGCAGAAATGCCAGTAGATGAAAGTGTAATAGAGGATTTTATGGCAGCTGGTCCTGAAGGCCAAATACTCCCACCAGGATTCACAGAGGCAGTAAACTGGGGACCCCAAGCAGGAAGATGTTTCTGCATTGCAGGTGGGTGGGTGGGTGAGTCTGTCTGTCTGTCTGACTCAGTCTTTTTGAGACAGGCTTTCAGGAAATGCCCCTGGGCAGCACGATTATGGGGCAGAAAGCCTCCCAGAGATTGGGTTAACCAAACCCAAATAAAGAACCGGGGCTGAATCCCTTTTTCCAGCCTCTTTGCCATTTGTGCTATGACCTCAAATTATTAAGATTACTACAATTATTATCATTTATTACATTTCTATAGTGCCCACTGCCCAAAGCTCTCTGGAAGGTTTACACAATCCATAAAACAAATGAAAAGAAAAAACAATACCATTGTCAGAAAAAGAAAAAAAATTAAACAACTAAAAACAGGCAATCAAAACACACAATGCAAAGCCCAATTTTAAAAAATCGGGGCCGGCTGACAGCTCTGCTGTGGCTGGAAAGGAACCCCACTCAGAGGAAATTAGGCTGGGCGGGCTCCCTACCCACTCCTCCCGTTACCCAGATTTCTGGCCAGCCATCAGGGCTGCTATTACCGGCCCCAGTTTGGAAGGAGAAGCAGCTGGGAGTCCCCGGGGGCTTCGGTGCCGATGTTTTATGGGCTCTTATCACGGGAGCGGTAATTGCTCGCATCTCCCGTGCGTGTAGCGATGTTGGGCAAGGAGAGGAGGGGAGATGCCAAATGAGCAGGCACCCCGCATACAGCAGAGGGACCGGCCGCTTTGATCGTGAGTGAGGAACAGCCATTAGACGGGAAACGAGCTCACCACACAATGCCGGGTCTGCAGAGCGGCAGTGAGCAGAGCCTAACCAGTAAATGGAGGTCACCCTCCATGGGTCTATTTTTAATCCAGAAGCATCTCACGGGCCCCTTCTCTTTGGGCGGTAGGTGGCGAGGGCTGGCAGCCTTTGCGTGGGCCCGATTCCGGGTGGGCCGGGAGCGAGTGGCGCCTTTCCGCCTAGCGAGGCGCCGAGGCAGCCAAAACCATCTCTTCCGCCAGGGTCAGCTTCGCGCTTGGAGCTCCCCCTTTCCCTGGCCCTCCAGCCCAGCGCCTCCCCCATTTCTTTGTTTTATTTATTCCGAACATTTGTATGCCGCCCCATTCGCAAAAAACCTCGGGGCGGCTTACAAAACAAATCAACAGTCCTACAGTTGACCTTAAAAATCCGGAGACAATCCGGATTTGGCTGGGACAAATCATGCAAGGAGAAGGCGACTCGGCTTCTCTGGATTCTATTGCACTGACTCGGTCGCGAAAAAGCTTCGAGTGCAAAGCCAGAGAGCCGCGCTTCGCTTCGGCGACGCTCCTGGGGCTCCTTCCACTGGAGGGCGGGGCCAAGGGCCAAGGGGCGGGGCCAAGGGGCTGCACGTTTTAGGCGGGGGGGCAGCCTTGCAGGGCCCATGGGCACATCGGGCGATTAGAGTAACGCTCTCAGGTGCCTCACAAAATGGCTGCCGTAGGAGGCACGGGTGCTAATCCCGCGGGACCAACGACCCACCCGAGAGACCCTGTGCGAAGCCAGCAAAACCCCCTTTGCTTTAATGCCGTGACTTTCTTCCCACGCATCTATTTTGCCTTGCTCTTCTCGCACAAACACTCTGCTAATGCAATGCATTTTTTTAAAGGTGGAAGCGAGATGAAGCCCCTTGAACGATGTCCGGGAAGGGCTCACAGAGCCTGTGCCATATTTACTCTCCTTTCTTAGGCTTAAAATTCTTTCTGCCAGTAAAACAGCCCTCGAGGAGGTGTTAGGAAGGGGTGAGGAAAACATGCCGGAGCGAAAAGCCACGGAATGACTGGCAATCCGGAGTGTGGCCAAAAAAGGGGCGCAGTCTCTGGGGGAACTCCAGCTGGGCCATTTAGGACGCCCGGCAGGCCAGAGTTGACAGGCCCGGCTGAGATTCTGCACTTCTGTTTTTAATGGATCGATCCCCCATCCTTGGGATGATTAACTAAATTAATTTAAATCCATGCGCACATCGCCAAAGCCCTGATGGTGGTGCCTTTTGAAGATCTCACGGGAAGGATGAAAGAACTTGCAGTTTAATAAGCAAAACATGCACTCTTAGAAGGAAAAGCTGCCTTTGAAAAATATATATCTACAAGCATGGCGTGAGTGTTTTGCTAGAGCTAACCCAGGGAGAGCCGGCCATTTTTGCACTAGCTTAAATTCTCTGAAAATCACTTTGAAGTTCATTTTAGCTTGCTCCTGCTATCATTGCTGATCTGTTTCCCCCCACTCCTCCACTGGAATGGGAAACATGAGCATTTTATATGCATTTGTCAGGCGTGTGCACTTCTCCCTACCCCATGGAAGGAAGCATGGACTTGCGCGTGCGCACACACTTAAAAGTAAATAAAGTGCACCTCTAAGTGTGCCTTTTTAAAAATACACATTTTCCAGATGCAATTGCAAAACTGGGGCTTTGCGAACATCCCTCAAATTTGTAAAACTTCTGCTCACATCCATATTCAGGATTGCAAATAGGCAGTGTTTGCACGACTTATGAAAAGAAAGGAAAAAGGAGCTAAACACTTTATTTACTTTTTTAAACGAATTATATGCATATTCTGCCTTTTTTCCCTTCCAAGGAAATCAAGGCAGTTTACATAATTCTCTTCCTCCTCGCAATCTTATCCTCAGAACAACAACCTTGTGAGGTAGGCTGGCCTGATAGTCTGCAATTGACCCAGTCACTCAGGAAGTTCCATAGCAGAGCTCCATAGCTCCCAGATGCCCTGAGTCCCAGTCCTGTGCTTTTAACCACTATAACACACTGGCTCACACTGTGAAATTTGCCGCCATCTTGGACAGGAAGGTTCGACAATTGCATGGAAGATATGGCTACCACGAATTAATATTCACTATGTGTATATGCTGCCTCTGGTACCAGAGAAGGGCTGACCCTGGACATCAGTAGCTGGGGAACATGGAGGAGGGTACAGTTACACTCCTGCTCTTCTTGCAGCTTACCTGTGGGCCATTGGCTGGCTACTCTGTGAGCACAACTTACTAGTCCTCATGGGTATATGCTGCCTCTCATACCACAGAATCATGTGCACCAGTTGCACGGAAACGTGGGCAGGCGGGGCCTTTTGTGCTTATGTCCTTCCTGCCCTTTTCCCATGGTTGGGTACTTTGTGAACAGAATCATAGAATCATAGACTAGTAGAAGGGGCCATGAAGGCCATCAGGTCAGGTGGCTGTCCAGTTTCACCTTGAATACCCCCAGTGTGGGAGAGCCCAGCACCTCTCCAAGCAGCTGGTTCTACTGTCGTGTTGCTCTGACCATGAGGAAGCTCTTCCTGATGTCCAGCCTGAACCTGGGTTGTCACAATTGAGTTGATTCTTCTGTGTCCTGCCCTCTGGTATCAGCGAGGAGAGAGCTTGGCCTTCCTCTTTGCAACAGCCTTTGAGGTACTTCTGGAGGGATACCATGTCCAACCTCAGTCTTCTCTTCTCAAGGCTGAACATGCCCAGTTCCTTCACTCTCTCCTCCCAGGACAGTGTTTCCAAACCCTGATCATTTTTGTTGCCCTCCACTGGACCCTTTCTAATTTTTCTGCTTCTTTCTTAAATCTTGGTGCCCAGAACTGGACACAGGATTCCAGGTGAGGTCTGACTACTGATGAGTATAGGGAAACTACTACTCCTTGTGATTTGGAAGTCATACTTCAGTTAATGCATCCCAAAAT